CTGGGACTCTGCAGATGAATCCCGCTGTTGAAACAGCTGCCTCTCAGTACATCTTTAAAGAGGTATTCAGATTCCCTTAGCCTTGCTGAGTTGAATCACTCTGAATAAACAGTCACCACCCATCAACTACGTATTTTTGTAAAGCACCTAGTCAAAGGCAGCCACCTTTATTGATTGCTAGGCTGGCCAACCTTAAGGCTGAAATGTTATTATTAGAGGGGGGGGGAAAAAAAAAAGGAGGGAAAAAAAAAAATAAAAGCAGAATACACTCGAAGGCCTGTGTTGTTTCTAAAAGAAACACAGGTCCAGGCGTTGCTCAGTGACATCAGGACGATTCCTCGCTGACTGCAGGAGGCTGCTCTAACAGGTTTCATACCAGCGCAGCCACAAGCCAAGTATCCCACTGACTCTTCTCCCTTTTGTCCAGGCCCTTTTCCTTGTTCTGACCCTTTTCCACCACAGCATGAACGAGCCACCCAACAGGAGCACAGAGCATATGCCCCAGCTGGCAATTATTTCTACTTTCAACATTTCATAACACAGCATTAGCACAAGCTCTAAATAAGTTCTGTCACCCTGCTCCAAGTAAAATGCTGAAGGAAGGAGGGTGAGATGCTGCGGTACTGCTGTCTCAGAAGTTTGTACTCCTTTAAGTCACTGGCCCTCAAATGTTGCTATTCAAAACAGAGTGGTATAGGGTGAGGTGGAGGGAACACCTTCAGGTGGGAAAAACATCACTGGCAGACATCAAAGATAAGCCATCATCAGATTTCTTGCACCGAAGAAGAACAAAGAGTCAATGCTCCTGAAATTCCTGTTCAGAAGTACCCCAGAACAGAGCCAGCACTTCCCACCTCAGCCAACCTCACCTGTTCATTTGTAATCAAACGCTGATAACCAAACCTGGCCTGGCAAAGCTCTGAAGGTTTCAAGCCCATCCTGGCTTCACATAAATACCTTAACCTTTCAGTGTAGCACCAGAGAGTGACATTCCCAAAAATACCCAAGTTCTGCCTTTGAAATCACTGCCTTGTAAAGATTCTTCTAAATGTTCGTGGGGGAAAGGGGGAAGCCACAGCTCCCACATGTGCTGGTTTATGTAGGGTATTAAAAAGAAAGCAACAAACAAGCAAACAAAATAAAACAATGCACACAGAGAAAGGATTCCTCATATGCACCCCCCCAAAAGAAATCTGCTTTAACTGCTGAACAACTAGTCAAGTTAGATCTCCCACCCCAAAAAAGCTGTTGCACTGTCTCAGAAGGCAATTCCTTCTCACCCTCAAAGTTTACATCTGCTCCTTAAGAGACTTTCCAGCAAAACTGCAGGGTACCTGAGCACTCCATGCATGATAAAGCTGTTCTCAAAAGAACACGAAGCAGTTTCTGGCCCTTTTCCAAGTTGTAGAATGCTGTTGAAAAGGCATATTTTAAACCTGTAACCCTATGACTGTCCATCTTGCTTGAATTCAGAAAGGAGGTAGAAGACAGTGTTCTCACTACCTTCACAAGAACAAAAAGCAGCACTACTATCCTCCTCTACGGACAATTATCTCCCAAGAAAGAAGCTACCACATCAACAAGGCAGCCGTCGCAAACTGGTCTAGTAACACGGTCCAATAATACACTCATTTCAAAACAACCTTTATCGTGCTGAAAGAGGAAGACATGATTTCACATGTTTTAAGAGTGTACACCTAAAACAGATTTCCAAACTTAGGCATCATTCATCAAAAAGTTAAAAGGGGCTTTTTCCACACATGCATAGATTTCAGACTAACAGGATTTACTTGTTTTCTGCCTGTTCCTGGGGAACTTCTGCAGGTTTTTTTTCCCAAGACTGTCTCTACAGGCTGCTATCCAACATACATCAGATGCTCCTGGAGCAACAGATAACTCTGGAAGGACATTTGCAAAGGACACAAATCAAGGGCCCGATGTTAGTAAAATTTAGGCATACTGGGGGAGGATAGAATTACTCCTCCATGTAGGTAATTTGAACATTTGACACAGTCCCTGGAAAGCTTTACTTATGCATCTAAGTATTTTTTTTCAGATGTCTTACTAGCAAAAGGTATATCTTAAGTCAACTAAAAAATTATTGCAATTTAAAAAGTGAATCCTTTTCAAAAACACTCAGGTTAATTTTAGCATCCTTCTGTTTAGCTGCTTAGCAACACTTATCCTATGACCTTCTAAGCACCACCTACTTTTACAAGGGATAATGAATATAACCAAAGGGATTTATCTATATGTTTTTAATCTATACAGTGTAAGTGCATTGCCAGTTTTGATTTAAATGAGAAATCCAATCCAACTGAGAGCAATTCAAAATCATTTCTGTTTTAGAAGAAAGTTTCACAGACTAAAGTCAAGCTACTGTTATGACTGTAGTGTTACTTGAACATTGGCAAAGTGATAATAACCTGAAGGAGAGAGGAAAGCACCACATAGGTTAATGTTTGTACACTTTGGGAAACACTGCACTTATCTTTGGTACCAAAAGAGATCACACATACTACTGACAGGTAATGAAGAGATTCAGTTTTCCCAGTTTTGAAACTTGAAGTTACTTCCCAATCCTCAATCAAAAGGAAAAGCCACATTGTCAGAAGGTCTGTCACAGGAATACTGCAAAGAGCTACAAATGGGATCACAACCTGGGTGAGCTAAGTCAGAATAAGATGCTTCATTACATGGAAATCTGCAATTGAAGCTTCAAACACCCAGGTCCAGGTAAGGGAAAAAAGCCAAACAACCCAAAACCCAGTAAAACAGCCAACACCCTGCTATATAAGCCAAATATATATATACATATATATACATATATTCTTTAGCACTGTTAGTTCTCAAAAGAAACATGTAGGAGTGGCTACATACATCACTTCTGATGGGCAAACAACAATTTCACAACTAGAAGCTAGCTGTCTGTAAAACAAAAGCAGAATAAAAGTTTACTTGATTGTACTTAAAGGATGGTATTTTTCCAACTACACTATATGAATTCAGTTCCAAATGCGGATGCCAGGAGGAGGAAGGTGAGGGAGCAAAAGAGGCCACACTCGGTCGGGAACAGCTGCCCTGCAGCATGAGAGGCTGGATTCGTCCCTGCCAGCAGGTGAGGGAGAGCCCTGGTACTCTGATTGATTGGATGATGGATTCATGCTGTTTCTGGGTTTCTAACAAACAAAAGGGCCTATTCTTTCCTGGATGTACCCAACTCCGGTTAAGGCTAATCGGCATTATGCAGGCACACCAAGAAAAGACTATATACCCTTAAGTCTTCAAAGAGAAAATTAAAACCTAAAACAAATATGGCTGGCCTGACCCTGAGTCACTGCATCCCTTTCACGCACGCTGACCCTGTGGAAAACAGGAACTGCAGTAACAAAACTCATTGCTTGTGTCAAAACGACCGACCTCAACGAAAAAACTTCAGCCATCATAACAGCTGTCTACTGTGCACTGTAGGGGTGACAACACGGCGTTATTTAGCAACTGCTCCTGTTGTTAATAAGCAATTTCTTTTCCAAGGCATGGGGCTGGATGTTGGAATGGTAGGAAACATCCACTGCATTTGCTGTCTCTCCTAGACGCCCCCAAATCACACTGAACTAGATGTTTACTTTCTCAAATAAGTAAATACACTTGATCTTATCTCCAAGAGAAAACAGGGGAGAGAGGTAGTCGGGATTAAAACCGAATGGTATCCCCCTCCGCCTTCCCTCCAGCAATCGGCCCAGTGGCTCCCGGGCAGGATGCTGGCTCCTCGGCGAGCAGGACCAGAGCATCAGCTGCGGGCCGGACACCGCGGCGCGGCCGTGGGAGGGCGGCGGGGCACGGAGGCGCCCGGGCCTCCGCGGGGTGCGCAGCCGAGCACAGCGGCCCGGGCAGGGAAATGTGCTGAGCCAGGAGAAGCGCTCTCCTCCTTCTGCGCAACCCCGCGAGGATGCCGAGCGGGCGAAGATATCGCAGCCGAGAGGTGAAACAGGGAAAATTACTTAAAAACGAATGAAAAAAAAAAAAAGAAAAAACTCCAGCGTGCGTGCGGAGGGAGGCGGGGGAGAAGTGCAGGGAGAAGAAGCCAAAGGAAACTTATCTGCGACATGACAAAGTTCAATCCACCGCCCTCCCTCTTCTGATGAAAAAAAAAAAAAAAGAAAAAGTTGCAGCATCTCGGTGCGTCCCGCTCCCCGCCCGGCCCGGTTCGGCCCACACCCCTCGCTCCCCCTCACCCTGGGCGGATGGGGCGGGGGGGGGATGCCGAGCCCGTGTGTTACGAACTGGGCAGGAGGAGCTGCCTCGCATCCTCAGCGCGGCCCCCGCGGCGCCGCCGGGGGTGTCCGGCCCGTAGCAACGACGATGGGGAGCGAGCGCAGCCGCCCAGAGACGAGGCTCGGCCGGCTCCCATCCGCACCGGGCACCGCGGCGGGGGGGGCGGCAGCCGCGCCACCCCAAACTTTGTTTTCACCTCAAACACCGCCACTGCAGGAGGGGGGGTCACCTCTGCCTCGCCGCTCCACCACCCCACCCCCCCGCCCAAGATGGGGCTGAAGGGGGCGAGGGCCCGGGCACCCCTCCTCAGCTTCGGATGCTGCCCGGCTCCTTCCTGTAGTGGTGACGCCGCCCAGGCGTCCCTGCCCGCCGCTGGCCCCGCCGCGTAGGGATGTGTTCCTGGCACCGCACAAAGGCAGCGGGACGGGGGGGACCCACGGGGGGCAGCGCCCCCCGCCCTCCCCGGGCACGGCTCCCCCCCGCCCCCGCCGCGCAGGCCGGGAGGGGAAAGGACACGCACGTCCCTACCGGGACGGGGGGGAGGAAGGCGGGGGGCGGGTGGAGAAAGTGGAGGAAAGGCGAAAAAAATCAAATAAAGTAAGGAAGAGGGATAGAGAAGAGAGGGGAGAGGTACCAGGGTGCCGAGGAAAGGCAGGCGCGGCGGTCCGGCCCTGCCGGGGGAGCGGAAAGTCAGCGGAGAGATGCGCGGCGCAAGCCGGCTCTACCTGCGGAGAAGGGGCGCCTTCATCCCAACTTCCCAGCTCCGGCGCGGCCCTCCCAGCCGGGAACAGCGGACAGGGGCCGCCGCGGGACCCACCGCCACCGCCGGCAGGAAAATAAGCCCGACGGAAAAGTTAAAAGGCAAGCTCGGGAGACGGGGGCGAGCCAGGCTAGAAGATGTTGCTTCCTCGCAGCCCCATCCAAATTGTGGCGGTGGCTGGTTAAAAATAAACTTTGCAGCAGGAGGGGGGGGATGATCTGGCCGGATTCCTGAGCTCAGACGGTTTAATATGGATGAGCATCAGGTCCTGAAGGCAAAACGCCGCGGCTGGTGCCGCTGGTTGGTAGAAAGTCTGCAACGGGGAAGGAAAAAAAAAAAAAAAAAAAAACAGGAGCCGCGGAGGGAGGAGAGGAGAGGGAGGAGCGGGGGAAGGGAAGAGGGAGGCTGCACGAACTCATCATCATCTCCACCGCTGCCAGCCAAACTTTTTTCCTTTTTTTTTTTTTAAAGGAAACTTTTTTTCCCCTTCTAACAAGCATTTCATTTTTAAAATAAGTCGCACGACCAGCCGACACGCTGCAGCGTCCTCACCCCCGCGCCTGCCCCCTCCCAGAAGTTTATTTTTCCTCATCTTTCTTTCTGCCCCCCCACTTAAGAAAAAGAAAATAAAAGGAAAAAAGAAAAGAAAAATAGATGCCTCCGGAGTTAAGGCACGCTCCTGCCCTTTGTGAGGGAGCGCGGCGGCCGGGCAGCCCCGCGGTACTTACGCCGGACTTTGCTGGGGCTGGGCTGCTTGCGCCGCGACATGCCGGGAGGATGGGCCGCCGGGGGGGCGCGGGGGCGCGCCGGGGGGAGCGCGCACGGGAGGGAGCCGCAAACTTGTTCCGGAAAAAGGAATCAAAATGGCGTTTCTGTGGATGTGCAAAGTTCATCAACTCCGCGCTAACTTCCCCTCCTCCGCGCCTCCCTGGAGGGGAGAGATGGGCACGGTTAGGGACCCCGCCGCGCCGCGCTCCGCGGGCGCCCCCGCCCCCTGCCCGCCCCCGCGCTGCCCCGCGCACCCTGATAAGGAGACACATCACGTGTCGCTCCGGCTCCTCTCCCGGGGACGCGCTACCGCGGCGGCAGCAGCAGCAGCCTGTTGCAAATAGCATCTCTAACTCGCCCTCGTCGCGGGGAGGGAGGGGCGCCTCCAAGGAGAGGAGTGAGCACAACTTTCCCCCCCCCCCCCCCCCCCCCCCCCC